CGCTAAAACATTTTGCGACTAGACCTCGGTGAAATAAATTTTGGTAAAACTCCACGAGTGACTCCGAAAAAATTATCACCGAAGAATCAAAAACTAAGCGGAAAGGTTTCTCGAAAAATCTGCGGAAAATTGTTAACCCAATGCGTCGTGCCGTTTTACTAAATTCATCACCCGTTACTTACGCGAGAAATCCTTCGTATAGTCAGGATCATGTCATAACGAAGTAACTTTGGAAAATAAACGTAACAGGTTTTGCGAAAAGTACATTCCTTATAGCGAAAACCAAGCTATACGATCCGGCACTGAGCGACCAATCTAAACTTTACCTCCTCGCGACACGATCTGAAAGATCTCACTCTTTAGCCCTTCGGTTCGCGAGCATCCGCTCTCACTCCTCCCGATTACATCCGAGAATGAGACCGTCCCGCAAATGACTCCGCACGGGCTCCGCACCGAGCTTCTTAGGATCTGTCTCCTTCGAGTAAAAAAAAAAAAAAACAACTTCCATACAAAGGAAAGATTATACGAAACTTTAATCGTATAAATCTAACCTACAACGGAAAAACGTTTTCAATAACCACGGGCATACTTGACAAATCAAACTCGACAAACGCTACTTGGCTATTGTCCGATCGTGCTTCACTTCAATGCCAAGTTTACAAACCGACTCGACCTTTTCGATAGCACAAAAGTGTCGTAGTCTAATCCTCTACCAAATACGACCTTGGCTGTGCGGCTGAACTCAACCTTCACGCTAAGCCAATACATTCAACGGATAATGCAAACTTGTCGAAAATCGGCTAAGTTCTGTATTCTCGCGATTCACCCTATTCCCGAAGCAAGTTGCTTACAAAATCAGACGTATAAGAGAACACTCGTACCAGAACTCCTAAAGCCGTTTGAATCTCGGAAGGTCAACACTTCACAAAGCACCGTAACGAAAAACCCTTCGTTTCGGGGAAACAACTTACGCGACCTCTCGGTCCTAATTGCTCTAGCACAAATCATAAAACTACCTAACATCCAAACAGGAATGTTAGTTTTAATTGCGAATATACGCAAACGAACCAAAGTGTTCCTGCAAAGCAGGGTTAAGACAANTCACAAAGCACCGTAACGAAAAACCCTTCGTTTCGGGGAAACAACTTACGCGACCTCTCGGTCCTAATTGCTCTAGCACAAATCATAAAACTACCTAACATCCAAACAGGAATGTTAGTTTTAATTGCGAATATACGCAAACGAACCAAAGTGTTCCTGCAAAGCAGGGTTAAGACAAAACCCTCGCAACACTGCGCAACATCTTCGAGCCCGCAAACGTTCCGAACACGAAACGCGGCATATAAAATAAAAACCAACTTTCGGCACTGTGAGACGTCGCAGACGCCCGAAGATTAGTTTTTCGACATAAATACCTTCCTCGATAAAGTCATTTTCTTGGAAGACCTAACGGTCCGTCCGCGACTATAAAATTACGCAAAACTTCTTAACGTACGTATCCTTCGTGAAGGCCAAAACAACGTAAACATTATCGCCTAAAAAGTTTGTTGCTGATCACAACAAACTCGCAACAGTCCTAAACAAACTTAAGTTATCTCGCAGAGATAGCTCTCGAACACCCGACACAAGGGTAATAGCGCTATAAAAGAAATCGAAACTTTTGGTTAGCACTTCCGGGCAACTTAGAAATTGTTCCCGGTGAGATGCTCGGTTCCAGCCAAACGAATCATATAAGCCGAGAACCTATCGCGGATTATAAATCGGTATGGAATCAGGTTAAAATCGCAACAGGCAAAACGAAAGCCGACTAGTCATCGCATAGCCTTAATCCAAAAGTAAACCTAGGTCTTGCCCTAAACCCAGCACAGTGGTCGCTAACGTCTCAAGGCATGAATCGAGATCCTAAAGGCATGTCTCTTCGTCTATATCTAAACGCTCACTCGATTTACTAAACATTCTAAAACGGGCAAACGAACAAGGAGATACACTAAGGGAAAAAGGAATGCGAGACGACAACTCGCGGACCTCCCTCAATATCAACTCATAATCTTCCCGCTACATTCATACGAATAAAAACACACTCCTAAAAACGCAAACTGATTTTTAATAAAGCCGCAAAAGCGGCAGGGAATCAGAGCCGCACACGGCCAGTCCAAAAACGATAACGGCCACGCTCGGCCAGACCAAACGGCCTACGAGGCTAGTCTCAAGGCCGACAAAGGTCTACATGCCATCGACATCAATATGCTCGATAATTCCTACACAACATATAACTAGACCTAAAGGTCTTACTAGGAAACGGGTCATACGAACCTTAACTCCGAAACGAACTACGAAAGGCTTGATCCCCTCAAAAGGGTACGTAGGCAGCCTTCACAAGGCGCAGCCCTAACCTTAAACGCTTTCCGCTCCCTGGAGAGTGGAAAGATCACTTTCAACGGACCTTTCCGACCATTAATTCCGCCTAACTTAACTAAAACTGGTTAACCACTCGCAAGAACCTTACGCTAAAGGCTCAAGATTCTTACGAGCTGGGGGACTAACTGTTGGGGTCAAAATCGGTACGACGGAATCAACGGCCGAAACTCCCCGCAGAAATATAAAAGGAATCGTTTTGTAAAACCCGAGGATTGTTTTATAAAACTCGAGAATCGTTTTATAATACTCGAGGATCGTTTTATAAAAATCGAGAATCGTTTTATAAAACTCAAAGAATCGTTTTATAGAACTCGAGAATCGTTTTATAAAACTCGAAGAATTGTTTTATAAAACTCGAGAATCGTTTTATAAAACTCGAGAAGCCGTTTTATAAAACTCGAAGATCTTTTTTATAAAACTCGAGAAGCCGTTTTATAAAACTCGAAGATCGTTTTATAAAACTCGAGAAGCCGTTTTATAAAACTCGAAGATCGTTTTATAAAACTCGAGAAGCCGTTTTATAAAACTCGAAGATCGTTTTATAAAACTCGAGGATCGTTTTATAAAACTCGAGAAGCCGTTTTATAAAACTCGAAGATGTTTTTATAAAACTCGAGAAGCCGTTTTATAAAACTCGAAGATCGTTTTATAAAACTCGAGAAGCCGTTTTATAAAACTCGAAGATCGTTTTATAAAACTCGAGAAGCCGTTTTATAAAACTCGAAGATCGTTTTATAAAACTCGAGGATCATTTTATAAAACTCGAGAAGCCGTTTTATAAAACTCGAAGATCTTTTTATAAAACTCGAGAAGCCGTTTTATAAAAACTCGAAGATCGTTTTATAAAACTCGAGAAGCCGTTTTATAAAACTCGAAGATCGTTTTATAAAACTCGAAGATCATTTTATAAAACTCGAGATGCCGTTTTATAAAACTCGAAGATCGTTTTATAAAACTCGAGAAGCCGTTTTATAAAACTCGAAAATCGTTTTATAAAACTCGAATAATCGTTTTACGAAACCGCAAAAAACCGAAACAGCCGTAAAACGCGAACTAGTCACGACTAGTTCACCCACCGGCGAACTAGTCACGACTAGTTCGCCCACCGGCGAACTAGGAGACACTCGACTAGTTCGCCCATCGGCGAACTAAGCCGGCCCGGCTTAGTTCGCCGATGGGCGAATTAGGAGATGCTCGTCTAGTTCGCCCATCGGCGAACTAAGGGTGCTGACTTTGCCTCACTGGTTCTTTTCGCCTAGTTCGCCATATGGCGACCTAGCCAATCTGAACTAGCTCGCCGTACGTCGAGCCACATCCTTGATTCAAGGCATACGTCCTTCGACACTATCGTATTCCGAATCACGGTCGAAATGTCTCCCGTTTCGTCTCGATCCGTCCTATCGTTCGAGTTTTACGATAAAAACCGTAAAACTCCGTTTTCCCGAAAAGAACTCGAAGAAATCGTATAAAACGGTAACGGTTAATCAAAACACCGAACATCGCCTAAACTATATGATTTATCTGAGATTCTTCGTTAAGATTATAAAAAACGCGTTTTTAATAAAAAATGTTGAGAGAATCGTAAAAAAAAACGGCATCAGATCAGGTAACAGTCTCGTTAAAGTCGTAAAATGGTTTTTATCGTAAAACGGCCCGAAAGGTCCTAAAACACGATAAAAACCCATCTCGCGACGTTAACGAAATCAAACCCGAAGATACGATAACGTTTTGACGGTCTACTCGCAGACGGAAGATAAAAGGCAAGTTTGAAGATAAATAATAGATTTCCGCAGAAGAAAAGGAAGGATCGACAGATATGGAAAGTTCCCGAAATATTCGGTTTCGAGCAAAATGGAAAGACTAAAACCGCCTAAGGAGGAGTATATAAGGAGGAAGCATAGGGCAGAAACTGGGACACAATTTTCAGAGCTCTCACCACCAAAATTAGCATTTAGGAAATTTTCCGTTTTCGTTATCGAGCTGCGTCTCAACTAGGGTTTTAGTCTTAGATTGTTAGAACTAGGAATTTCGCTGACGACTCGTGCAGCTAAGGCAACTCTCGTTGTAACCGTTCTTACGCGAATTCGGAATAAGAATCCTTCTTGCTCTCAATCTCGTTTTTCTTTTTATATCTTTCAATTTATTCATATTAATCGCGTTCTTGGTTACTTGTCGTTGGCTTTCGCAGATATCCGGTTCCTCTGGAAAATTAGGGTTTTCCTAAGTTTCCTTATTTAACGGAAATCGACAGGTGTGAATTTCGGTTCCCACAACTAGAGTCTATGGACTTTTGTAAAACTTTTTATTCTCTTTTTTTAAATTAAGAAAGCTGTTTACAAAAAAAAAAGAATTATATTCAACTAAAAAAAAAAACAGTGTTACAAAAAAAAATAAATAATAGAAATTAATCGCAGTACGCCATTCATAGCAAATAACCGGTTTTAACCAAAAACCGGGCAAACATACAAGAGAAAGTATATTTGTAATAAAGAGGATCTTGAGGGGTAAAATGATAACTTTAACAATTGTCGTCAACCTCCTGACGCAACTCTTGACTCATTCTCTCTACTTCTTGTGTCCTCTTCAAGAAGATCGGAAGCTTTTTTAAAACACAAAAACCTAATTTTGTATCGTAAATTTTGTAGAGGTTTCCTCCAATTCTATCGTTTGATTAGATTCATGATCGGATTCTGAAGAAACTTCCGATAAAACCCATACCTCTCTTACTGTAATCTAAAGAAAGAGAGGGAGTAAGGCAAATACAAAAAGGCCATGGATTTCGATTTGAATGGAGGCAACAAGCGAGTCTTCAACCGACTCGGCGGGTCGACTCGTCCGGCGGCAAAGGGGTCACGTCAGGAGGTATGTTCCTACTGGCGAGCTGGACGGTGCAATCGGAACCCTTGCCAGTTTCTACACCGAGAGTTACCTGGTCCAGTTCCGAGTCAGGGTTATTCGAACAAAAGGGTCGCCGACGAATCTGGGTTTGCGGGTCCGAGTCACCGGAGAGGACCCGGGTTTAACGGGAGCTCTAGTAATACCTGGGGGAGGTTCGGTGGGAACAGGACGGTGACGAAGACGGAGAAAGTTTGCAAATATTGGGTGGATGGGAACTGTAGTCACGGTGATAAGTGTAGATACTTGCATTGTTGGAGCAAAGGAGATAGCTTCTCCCTGCTGACTCAGCTTGATGGGCATGAGAAGCTTGTGAGTGGGATTGCTTTGCCTTCTGGATCTGATAAGCTTTACACTGGGAGTAAAGATGGGACTATTCGTGTCTGGGATTGTGCTTCTGGACAGGTCTTCATTCCTTTGTTTCACTCTTTGGTTTTACATGTAGAGTACAGGAGAAATCTATTTGTACAATGACCATGTTCTGAGAACCTGGCTATATACTATTGGTGGGAAATTGATTTCTTAGATGTCAAATTAGAAAAGTGAGCCTTCCTTAGTGCTATTGATGTTTGATAGAATGCAACTTCCAAGCTTATTCATTAGGAAAAGAAAGGTCTGAATCTTTTGATCCGGAACGAATATTTTGATGATCCTACTCTCCTCTCTTGCTAGAAAACTACGTTTCCCTAATAGTAAACCACAACTCTCATTTTCAGAAACTTGTTTTGTATTTGAGAGGAATCTTTTTTTTTCTGATCTTGTGAGAGCCTGTTTTAGGTTGACTTATCGTGGATACTGTTGTTTTTCAATTTCCACGAGTACTCAATCTTGGTGGGGAAAAGAATTGTTTCATCAGATTCCTGATCTAATTGATGTTCTAGTGTCCTCGCTTACTAGAAAACCACGTCTCTCCTTTTCAGAACCATGTTTGTATTGAGGAATTCATTTCTGATCCTGTTGGAGACTGTTTTAAGCTTTACTTATAGGGCTACTATTGTTTTCTCTTTGGATCAGTGTACAAGCGTACTCAGTCTTGGTGCGGAAGTTGGCTGTGTGATTAATGAAGGTCCGTGGCTATTGGTTGGCATGCCAAATCTTGTGAAGGTGACTTATACTTACGCATTGTCTTCCTTGACTGTCACAATATCAAGGATCCGCTTCTATTACTTGTTGAGTTTATAGTGTTGTTGTTGATAATACAGGCTTGGAATATCGAAACCAATGCAGACCAAAGTCTCAGTGGACCTGTTGGCCAAGTGTATTCTCTTGTTGTGGGTACTGACCTACTCTTTGCAGGCACACAGGTAAAAATTCTAAGTTTCTCTTTGCAAAGATCTCTTTGATTATATTTGTTTTTGTTAAATAAGTCATAAGTTCTTTACTTTCGGTGCAGGATGGTTCTATATTGGCATGGAGATATAATGCTGCCACTAGCTGCTTTGAACCGGCTGCGTCATTGAAGGGCCACACCCTTGCTGTTGTTACCCTATATGTTGGGGCAAAAAGACTCTATTCCGGGTCCACGGACAAATCTATTAAAGTGAGTTCTAGTATTAAAAACTTCCATTGCTTTTGTTTGAGCTAATTGTTTTTGGGGGTTTATGTGTTTGTAGGTTTGGAGCCTAGATAATCTTCAATGTATGCAAACGCTCACGGATCATACATCAGTTGTTATGTCTCTCATTTGCTGGGATCAGTTTCTTTTGTCTTGCTCATTGGATAACACTGTCAAGGTTAGGTTCATCCTTAACTATATCCATCAGAGAATCTTGTGAAATTTTAAACTTTCCCCTGTTGACGTGTTTAGTTTTCTTTTCTTTCTGGGCTCTATAGATATGGGCTGCAGTTGAAGGAGGCAACTTGGAAGTTACGTACACTCACAAAGAAGAACATGTATAATTTCTTTCTCCTCTACTTTTGGTCCTAACCTATTATGCAATGTAACTAAACAACTTGTGAAAATGTCACAGGGAGTGCTAGCTTTATGTGGTGTACATGATGCCGAAGCAAAGCCGGTTTTGTTGTGCTCTTGCAATGACAGTACTTTACGTCTCTACGACTTGCCATCGTAAGTCTCGCAGCACTTACTTTCTGAATCTACAATTCTTCCCTCTGTTTTCTGAAAGCTTAGGTGTTCATTTATTAGATTTACGGAGAGGGGCAAGATCTTTGCAAAGCAAGAGATACGGTCGATCCAGATAGGTCCAGGGGGCATATTTTTCACGGGTGATGGAACCGGTCAAGTTAAAGTATGGAAGTGGTCCACTGCTCCAACCACGGCTATGTCCTGAAGTAGTTCGAAATCTTGTCAAAGTTCTTTCCTACGACCTTCTTGTACCATTATATATGAGTTTCCCTCTCTGAGCAAGGGCCCATGGTCTGATGAGAGACTATGCCATGTTGGGAGTTTTGAGGCAGAACTGGGAGAGTTATGTCCAGCTTCAGTCTGTCCGCCTTGTAACAGTTTCATTTGTATGGTCAGGTTTGTCATAATAAAAGATTTATCTATTCAAGAAGGATTGACGAGAGTTATAATGATACATGAACAAAGCCGCAGACGCGTTCTTAGCATCTACATCAATGAACCCCCTCTTGGGGTTCGTTGAATCAGTTTTTTATTATTAAAATTTTTCTGGTTTCTTTTTGATTTTTTTTTTTTTAAAAAAAGAAAAAAAAAAGACCTAGACCAATCCTGGGCCGACACGTGGTGAATCTTAGGAGAGAGGGGTTCACCCGGGTGAACTTTAGGAGAGAGGGGTTCATAGATTTTTGTTATTTTATTATTTTATTTTTTTGGTTTCCGTGTGAACCCCCCATTTGAACTCTCAATGGGGGTGCTCTTATCACAGAAACATTTAAATGTTCTTAGCCGAGTAAATACTTTCTTTTCTTTGTTGTTTCTTTCAGAGATTGAACATATAACTTTAATAGCATTGTTTCCATGAGCACTGGTTTCAAAGGCATCTTCCACTTCTTTATGAGAGAAACCAAATCTGTGGGTTATGAGTAGGGGTGGCCCGGATCCGGATATCCAGAAAATTTAGAGTATCCGGATTCAGATTTGTTAGATCCGAAACTTTAGTATTTGGATTTGTGTCCTTCGGATATTCGGAGTTCGGATATCCGTTTAGAAATTGTAGTAGCTGCGAATATCCAGACTGGGATTCAGATCCATAAAAATAATAAATAAAAAAATAAAAAAATTTAAAATACAAAAAATCTAAAATAATATATAAATTAAACATAATTACACAATTTATAAATATTATTTATGATATATAATATTATGAAAATTAAGATATAATATTATAAGACTAATTTTTATGTATAAATATTAATATATCAAATATAATATTAATAAAAATAAAAATTAATATATTTTAGAAACACAGATCCAGATCCGGATATCCAGACCTAAAAATTGTGATATCCGCATCCAGATTCGGTTTGCACGGATCCAAGATTTTACTATCCAGATTCGGATTCGGACGCCCCGAATATTTTATTTTTAGAGTGGATCCGGAGCGGATCTCGGATCGAATCCGGATTCCAGATAATAAGTCCCATTCCTAGTTATGAGTGTCTTCACATCAGTCTTACCACTTGTAAGGAACTCGAGACATAAGCCATGTGTTTTTGTACCTGAACACACCAACCACTCTACCTCCCTGTCTCAAAACCAAACTGTTTCATGACCATGGTTGTTTTCAAAATTTCTTAATGTGATGTTCAAAAGAGGTTATTACCTTGCAGCTGCAGGGGTGAGAGAGGACAGCTATAACATCAGGTGATGGACCTCACAACTTGTAAAGAGATGTAATATAAGTTGGAAAAGATGTATATGTCTAAATCGTTATCTAGAAAATTGTACCTCAAACAGAGGTTGTTTGGTTTGAAATGTTTGAGAGTGGAGATCTTGTTGCACGCTTCATTAACTTTAATCAAATCATCAGAGATCTGGCGCGTATAGATGTGAAGATTGAGGAAGAAGTTCAAGCCATGATCTTGATGTTTTCTCTACCTCCTCAATATGAGACGTTGTTGACAGTTCTAACAATTGATAAAGTGACTATAAAGTTGGAGACGGTTTCTGCTGTGCTGCTCTCACATCATAAGAGAAGGCAGAATACTGGGATGACTGACAACTCTCAAGGTGACATATTGTATGTCAGTCAGGATAGAGGAAGGCAGTGGGGGAAGCAGCAAGATGGTTCTAGCAGGAAAATATCAGAGTCAAAATTCGGAAAGAAAATAGTATGCTATAGGTGTGGCAAGCCTGATCACTATAGAAGAGACTATCCTGAAAAAGGGTAGAACTTGAAGTACGGATCGTGTTTTGCAAACTTAGTTCAGAAGAATGAAGACTCAGCAGGATCGACTGATTTGGACATGCTAGCTGTTACGTCATGAGATCATATGGATTATTGGATATTGGATTCAGACGCTTCATTCCACATGACCCCTAACAAGGAGTGGTTTGAAACGTATAAGACTGAAAACATGGGCTCTGCTCGACTTGCGGATGACACGGTGTGTGGTGTTGTGGGCATTGGACAAGTCTAAGTTTCGGATGTACGATGGATCTATCAGGACATTGACTGATGTCAGGCATGTTCCAATCATGAAGAAGAATCTAATATCTCTAGGTACGCTTCATAGAAACTGCTTCAAGTACAAATCCAATGATGGAGAAGTATTGAAGGTATTCTATGGAGTTATGATGGCGATGAAGGGTCAGATGACAACTGGAAACGTGTATCGGCTGATAGGGAATATGGTTGTAGGTGCAGCCTCAGATGCAGTTTCTGAGTTGGAGTGTACAGCATTGTGGCATACGCGTATGGGTCACATTGGCGAGCACGGGATGAAAGACCTCATGAGAAGAGGTCTTATGGATGGGTTGAAGGATTGCAAGATGGATTTTTGCAAATTATGTGTGATGGGAAAACAGTCCAAGGTATCTTTTAAGACGAGGCAACACACGACAAAGAGTCTTATTGACTATGCTCATTCTGATGTGTGGGGGCCAACTCGAGAACAGTTATTGGGAAGATTAAGGTACTTCGTTTTATTCATCGGTGATTTCTCTAGAAAGGTTTGGGTGTACTTCTTAAGTCATAAATCTGAAGTGTTTCTTCCTCCAGACTCACATTCTCATGCAATTTGAAGCACAAATTTGCATGGTAACCACTTGGTTAGCTAGAGAGCCATGAACCGGTGGGGTTGAAAAGAACTTCATATTACACTTGATCGGGGTTAACATGTGATACTTTAAACCATGTGCTAACACTTGCAATCAAGACTCACTGAAAGAGAAAAATAGCAACAATACATGAAAGTTCATGACATTAATCGAACTTTGGAGATTAGACAAAAGAAAAAGAGAAAAGGCTTTATAGACCCAACACCACAACAAAAATGGAATTGTTACATCTGGATGTGTCTTAAATCTCTGTGCACCAGTAAAAGCTCATCATTCGCTGGGCCGGACGTAGTCCTCGTCGCTGGTGCTATCAAGGTTGGCATCTAGGGGTGAGCGGGGAAGGGGGTACGATATATCTTTTATATTTAGGAAAATTTACTTTTCATAGATAAGTATGTATTCTTATAGGGAAAAAGAAATTGGGTTTTGAGACCGCTATAAATATGCGTTTAAGAGATTGCAAAGTTATTCATTCACAATAATATACAAACCCTAAAATGGGTATTTGTCTCAATTCGTTTTGCTCTCTTTTGATTTCTTCGAGTTGATTCGTGTTTATTCACAACAGGAATAAAACATCAATTCTGCTCTCGAGTTGCTGCTGCACGAGAAGAACTTGTAAAATCCCTTGGTACGAGTAAATTACTTTGGTAAGGGACAACTTGTTGCCTCTCAAGTAGACATTGGCAAATACTATAATGTAAACATATACCGTAAATCGTAAATAGAACGCAACGTTTGAAAAAAAAAGACAGGTGTTGCACCCATGATGCTTGAATTGATGATGTGTCCCTTTAAAAGGAGAGAAAATCCTATTATATATATATATATATATATATATATATATATAGATGTCCAGAGTAAATATTTTTTGAAGGCCCACCATTGATATTAAACATATACTAAATCTTACACGAATTATGATAAATTTAAATTAATTACATAAACTATCAGAAAAAATGGTTACAAACTTCATTGACTTGATTTCATTTAGTTGATCGTAACGAAAATGCTGAGATTGCTCTCGCGGTGTTTCTTATTTTGCGTTGTTTTCACAAAATGTTGGTTATTGTGGGTTAAGAACATAATGGTAATTTAAGCGTAGTGGTTATTTAGTTTTTAGCAACCATTTTTGTCTTCTTGTTCATTCATCACAAGTCAAATTAAAATCACTACTTTATTGGAGAAATTGTAGTGTATTGAGTATTCTCTGTACACACAATAGTACTTTCTTGGGAAAATTGTTAAAAATGGATAACTTACCTTAGCTAATGTCCCTTTAGAACAAAACAAACTTTTGGCAATTTTAGATAATGACTACCTTTAAAATTGGGAAAAATTCATATTAATTTTTAGAGAAAAAGAAAACCCAGATCTCGAGATTTCGAGAAAACGAACCCATAAACCGCAAAAGATAAATCTCCTTTCTCCATCCTTCCCAAATAGAACCCAGATCTGATCGATTTCAATACCAAATGCATAAAACCGTCGGATCTTCATCGTCTTCAAACCCTAGATTTTTATCCATAACCATTTTTAGTGTTATATACCCCATAGAATTTGGTTAAGTTAATAAAAATTACTACTAATGATTGTTTTTAGTTTACATTATATTTTTAAAGAACTTTAATCATATAATTAGAGGGTTAACATGGGGTCAACATTAAAATTAGTAATAAGTGGACAAAAACCGTCAAAGCAATTCTAAGGGGATAAAATGTGAGATTTTTTGTTCCTTTTTGGCAAAATTCCCTACTATTTTTCATACACTATGTTAACTATGTCAAGATACACTAAAATTTCTCTAATAAAGTAGTGATTTTGACTTACTCGAAAACATTAATCAAAATGTTATATCAATAGTTAGGTCTCAAACATCGTTATCCAAACATGCTAGTTAAAGCAAAAACAACTACAGCGATAAAAACACACAGCATTTTAGTTCACCATGACAAAAATAATTCAAGTAAAAACACAGGACTCTAGTTCCGTTATCCAAACACACTAGTTAAAGGCTTAAATCATAAACAACTACACCGATAAAACACACAACATTTTAGTTCACCGTGTAAAAACTACGCTAGTAAAATAGTTCACTGTGTAAAAAAAACTACGCCAGATGACATATTAGTACGAGTTTGAGTTTATGCACAAGACCCAGCAGCACAACAAATCACGCAGAATATGCATGCATGACTTGGTAGACCTTAGAGTGGACAGCAAGCGATTTGGGTCTCTGCAAAAAAGAAAATTAAATTTGTTTCTAAGTATGATGAAATAAGAGTAACAAGCTCAGAATACAATTCTACTTACTAATTGTTTCGGATTTTGGGATTACTGTAATTTATGTCAAATAATTTGACATAAATGTTTGTTTGATAGAAAGTCAATAATTTAGAGAATTAATATTAAGTGTATTCCACTAACTCATGGAGGAACATTTTCTTATTTCCAAAAGTAAACGTAGACAAACATGAAATTTTCAATGTAGTAGTCTTTATATAATCATCACGCTACTATTGACATGTAGAAAATCTGTTTTTCATTTTGAATACCCAATTAATATCGGGAAAATCACATTTTTAATCACGAAGTTGGCAAAAGTTTGCAGTTTAAACCTATAAAGTATAGCACTAACAATTTAAACCACCAAACTAATTACTGTAACATATTAAACATCCAACTTGCCATCCGTCGTCCTACCATCTGTAAACTTAACGAAATAGTAAACATTGTTAACGGAATTGATCACAGACATTTAGTTTTGATAAAACGTGGTTAATACTTATGTCTTTTAACCCCATTGTAGATCTGGTTTCAGACTATAAAAAGGAGAACCCAAAATCAGTTTGGGAATTATGGTTAGTGAGAGTGAAGCTCAAAGAAATCTAAACATAGTAACATGATAGAGAATTGGAGAATGTCTCAGAGTGTCAATTCGCAGAGTGAAATTTCATCATCCAACGATGGTGTGAATTGTGACTGTAACAAGCCAGCAAAGGTTGCCTGAGCTTGGACCCATGAGAATCCAGGTCGAAGATTCTGAAGTTGCAGAAGACGTCGTGTTGCGAATGGGTGGGATTCCTGCAACTTCTTTCGTTGGCGTGATGTGGAGAAACTTGAGGGATGGCAGCATCTTGCATTGTTGGAAGCTAGATACATATTTCGAGAGCAGAAAGAAGAGCTTTCAAGCGTGAGGGAGAAGGTAAGACTTCCAACTCCTGGCTGTGATAACTCGATAATCTCGAGTGAATTAATGGAAAAAATGAAGGAAAAGAATGAAGAGTAAAGCTTTAAGTAGAGAGGTGCGGATTCTAAAGGAGAGGTCTTTGGTTCTAAGGAATGTTCTTGTGGCTTTATCGTTTGGTTTTGTTGTGGTAATTGGAGGTTTGATGGTGATTTCCAAGTATTGCTGTTGTTTGTTTGATTCCTACTACTTTGTTTTATGCTATCAGTTTTAAGACTTATGTTTTGGTTATGCTATGGGTTGTAAGTCTTATGTTTGTTATGTCTTCAGTTTGTAAGACTTGTGTTTGGTAAGACTTTGGTTTAGACTTGTGTTGTGTTTCTACTATCAATTGTTGTAGTTGAATCTAGTGATGTAAAAGAAAAAGAACAAAAGAACCCTGGAAATAAAGAAAAACAAAGATCGATAGTGTTGTCAAATATTCATACAAAAGCCGATAAAAACTTGGTTTCATTCATACAAAATCCGATAAAAGGAAACAAAGCTAGCTAAACAAAAGGAAACAAAATTAGATGAAACACAACAAGATCAATGGTAAACAAAGACGATCATCTTAACCTTCAGAAGGAGGCTCGTTGTTTTGGTCTTGAGGGGGTTGTATATTTTGAGCTTCTGAATGCTCTTGGTCAGATCTATCATAGAATCGATCCCCAAACACTTGAAATGGTCGATCAGTGAAAGGGCTCCAAATTGTCCCAACACTATATGGTATGTTTCCAGTTTTCCTTATCTTTAGTGGCCTTCCCCGAGAAGCCTCCTTCACATGTGTTTTGATCTGATTAGGTTAAGGAGCACTAGAACTTACATCACCTTCACCAGTTACATTGATTTGTATAGGCTGAGAGCTGCTTCTTGTGGCTGGAGGCTTCTTTCTTCCTCTTGGTTTTGGCGGTTGTGTGGGATGAATCTGAAACACAAAACCAGAAAAAAATGGTATGCCAACAACGAGAGAATGAGAAACAAATTAAACGAAAATAAGTAAGTACCTCATTTGGATTCTTTCAAGGACGACCACGTCGGTTCTTTGGTCCTTCCAGAACCATTGCTTCATTCTTCCAGTCTCTTGAATTATGTCTTGTTTGCATACATTCTCAACAATAAGGAATACATCCATGTCTAGTTACGTTTCTAGCATTTTGTAGATCTTCAAACGGTTCCTTTCTCATGTCCTTAGTCTTTGAACGACCTCTTGACTTCCGTAATTCAGGTATTGTTATTGGTGTCTTATGGGTCTTCTTCCAGAAAATTTCTCCATTCACTGGTTTAATGTTTTCATCATGGGTCTTTTTCAAGACATCTGTGTAGTATTACTCAGCCACATACCTAACTGGATCGTCTTGGTTATCATCTAGGACACAAACAGCATGTTTGCAAGGTATACCAATAAGATCCCACTTCCGACAAGCGCACTGGTGACTGGATAAATTGACAGAATAGCCACAGTCAAACTCATTAACTTCATAGACGCTTTTGCTGCTGCGTATTGTCGAGCATAACGTTTTGGCAACCCTTGCTTTCTCCAATATCTCCATTGTGATTGCTGTCACAGTAGTGTCACACTTCTTTGCTTTCAAAAACCTTCTCGAAATTCTTCTCATTGCTTGTCTTCTTTTACATCTTCAAGCAGATTAATTATAGGTGGTTCAAATGAACAATATACCTTAAACTTACACTCCTTGCCGCAACAAACAATCGCTATTCTGCTTGCATCAGACTTTGCCATCTTCACATCATACTGAGTCTTCAAGGAGTATCTTAGAACCTGGTCTTTAAACTCTAGACCCGAGTTAAATTGCTGAAATAACCAAAATAAGGTTCTTTTTCAAAATCTATATGAAACTTAGATTTTATGTTTCCATTCTTCTTCTCATTTGGCTTATCCCATTGCTCCCATTCGTCATAGGATCCTAGTGGTGTATCTGAGTACTCAGCATCCTCTTCTTATACACATTCTTCTTCACTTTCCTCCGCTTCCCTTTCTATTTCTTCATTTTCATCTAAATTCTGATATGCTGCTTTATCTACCTTTGCCCTAGAACCTTCCTCAAACACTGACTTAAACCTACCATCTTTACCACCATCTCCAGCGTCTTCAATAACATCATCTCATATCTCAGGATTCTCATTTCCCACAAATGCATCTGCTTTTTCAGCTGCAGGTTCATTCATTTCATCCTCAGATCGTTTAGGTTCTTCATCTTCAAATGGTCGCTCGACTTCTTCTTCGTCTTCACTGTTTGCTTGGTCATCTTCTTAAGGCTTCTCGAATGGTTGCTCGACTTCTTCACGCTGGCTATTTGGTGTAAAAATATACATGGGAGGCTCACTCTGCTCAGAAATATCATGTTTGATGAAAACATCAATCTCACTGTCTTCTTTCCCTACACATATCAATACAAACATATATTCTGTAGCTTCATCAAAGACATAGTGTCTTCATCTCTTTCCCTATCTCTTTATGCCAAATGAATCTTATCGGTGCTTCTATCAAAGTTTATTCCTTGCTAAACTTCGTGAATTTAGCCCAAGATATATCATATAAATTCCACTTTGTGGTCCTCACTCCCAGTTCCCGACATACTTGTAAGACTCCAATTCTTTTTCCATACATCCACCGAAATGGATTCTCAAGGTTACCATATCTAATTCACTGTAAAATTAAGAAAATATGTTTACATTAGAACCCATAACCCGTAAATTATAAAACCCTTTCGCATTTCGAACAACATTTTTGAAAATCCCAGAAACTGTAAAATCGCGAAACCCTACAATTACAATAAAAAAGTATGGAAAAGAAGAGCTTACCTCATTTCAACTCGATCATTTGAAGACCTCTTCGATTCTTCGTTAGGTTTTCTCTCTCTCACGTTGATTTCTCTATTCTAATCTTTGTCTCTCTCGAACAGTTTTAGAATCCTAAATCTCCAATTCTATTTTGGTTTTTCTTTAAAAATGTGGTTAAAAAGACACAAGTATTAACCATGTTTTATTAAAACTAAACGTCTGTGATTAATTCCGTTAATGGTGTTTACTGTTCTGTTAAATTTACAGACGGTAGGATGATGGATGGCAAGTTGGATGATTAATATGTTACAATAATTAGTTTGGTGGTTTAAACTGTTAGTGCTATACTTTGAAAACTTAAACGGCAAATTTTTGCCAATTTCGTGATTAAAAATGCGATTTTCCCAATTAATATCTATGGAGTATTAAATATTTGTATATAACTAAAATCTCAAATAACCAATATACTGTAGTTACTTAGGTAAACAAGTAATTTTTTTAAATGCAGCAAATGAAAACACAAAATATACAAATAGTAATCCGTAGATGTGGAGTTAAGAAGAGTGTATGTTCAGTCTATACAAAAAAACGAAAGCTCCAACCTTTTTAGAAGAGAAAACTCATGAACGCCAGTCATAACAATGCCATATATGCGTAGTTATGTATACAACAACTAATGACAACGGATTGTTAAGGTAGATTTTTGCCTAATAAGACTCTTGGAACATATTTTCATCATCTCATGAATCTTTATGTGTTTTGATATCGTAAATTCTAATGGTGGTTAATAGACAAACTAGCTAAATCATAATGCATCAGATTTTAACATGTTTTATGGAAGTGGTCCACTGCTCCAACCACGGCTATGTAAGTTCGAAATCTTGTCAGAGTTCTTTCATACGATCTTCTTGTACCATTATTTATGAGTTTCCCTCTCTGTGTCTATCCTAGCAAAGGCCCATGGTGTTATGAGACTATGCAATTTTAGGAGTTTTGAGGCAGAACTGGGAGAGTTTTGTCCAGTTTATGCATTGTCTGTTTGTCTTGTAACACTTTGATTTGTATGGTCAGATTGTCATGATAAAAGGTTTTATCAATTCAACAATAATTTACGAGAGTAATGATACATGAACAAAGCTGCAGACGCGTTCTTATTACAGAAACATTAAAATGTTCTTAGAAGAGCAAATACTTTTTTTCTTTTTGTTTCAGAGATTGAACATAACTTTAATAGCATTACTTCCACGAGCACTGGTTTCAAAGGCATCTTCCACTTCCTTCTGAGAGAAACCAAATCTGTGGGTTATGAGTGGCTTCACATCAATCTTACCATTTGTAAGGAACTCGAGACATAAAGGCCATGTGTTCTTGTACCTGAACACACCTACGACATCTACCTCCCTGTCAACAGCACAACTGTTTCAGGACCATAATTGTTTTGCAAAGTTTCTTAATGTGTTGTTCAAAAGAGGTTATTACCTTGCAGCTGCGGGAGTGAGAGGGACAGTCATTATAACGTGACCCATTCCGACAAAGCAGACTTTACCGCCACAACGAGTGGCTGCTAATGCCGTCGACATGGTTTTGTTGAAACCCGCACAATCAAATGTCACATCGATGTTTGACCCCACAGCTTTCTGAATTTGTTCAACCTCAGAACCAACATCCTGAAATAGTATAAAGAACAAATTCTTATCTTATACAGTCAGATCATCATGTTTGAGAAAGATTCAAAATGCAAAAAAGTGTATGAATGAACCTCTAAGCTTGTTGTCACTTTGACAATCCCATATGCGCCTAGCTGTTTGGCTACGGATAAACGGTTCTCATCAACATCCACAATCACAATCATTGGCACACCAAAAGCACGAGCAGCCAACATGGTGACAAGTCCAATAGGTCAGGCTCCCATTACCAACATGTTTGTCTCAGGACAAACCTCAGCTCAGCGACAAGCATGCACACCAACACTTAGTGGCTCACACATTGCTCCTTCCTCCAGACTCACATTCTCAGGCAATTTGAAGCACAGATCCGCAGGGTAACCACTTGGTTAGCTAGAGAGCCATGAACCGGTGGGGTTGCAAAGAATTTCATCTCAGGACAAAGATTGTATCATCCTTCCTTGCAGAGATTGCATCTCCAGCAACTAATCCCAGGTTCAAGAGCCACTTGGTCACCGACCACTAGATGCTTCACTTCTTCACCCACCTCTTCAATGATCCCAACACATTCATGTCCAATCACCATCGGTTCTTTCACAATGAAATCCGCACATCTCATGGTCTTGTTTTGTAATATCAAAAACTAATGTTAAGACCCCATAACAAATCAAGAAGTAAAAGATTATTTCTGTTTTTTACAAGTTACCTTTAGGTAATGAACATCACTTCCACAAATTCCAACAGCCTTCATCCTAACTCTCACATCATGAGGACCTTCAAGGATTTGAACAAAAGGGTCACATACTCACATGAAAGTGCAATCAAATCCCATGAGAGGAAGAACTGGCTTACCAAGGGAAGGAAGAGGAAAAGGCTGGATCTTGAGGGTGTTGAGACCAACCAACCAAGCAGCCATGTTCTCTTCTTCCACTTTCGAGCCTTCTCCCTGAGACATTCCTCCTTTTCCCATAACTCTTCTCTGCTATTCTCAGCTCTAAGCACCTGTAGTGATCTCAGCTTTTAGATTAAGGGAAACAGAAACCAAACCCACTAGAGCCTTAAAGAATGATTAAAGAAAACAAAGGGTCAGCATCGAAATCTCCATAAAAGTGTTAAAGAAATACAGAAAAATACATGTGCCAGAAAAATTGAAGCGGTGGATGGATTTTATGTGATTTGGATAAACCCAAGAGTCTTTTTCTGCTTTCTTATTGGACCACAAAGAGTTGATTCTGTGTTTGACTGTCCGGACCTATTCGACAGTAGTCAGATAGATTAATTTGTATTTTCCCCCTTTAATTCAAAAGCTCCTCAGACACCTGATATTCATCACTTTTCAGATTATGAAGGTTTGTTCTCACTTAGCACAGGTTTGCGAGCTCGAGACACTAGGCTGTTGGAGGCGAGTGGGTTGCAGGGTGTAGTGTGGATTTATCCAGGCTTCTGCTTCGTAGCACTGATACTGACTAGACCTGGTGGTTTCCTTAATCTTTAACGTCTTTTCTCTTTCTTTTCCGATTCTCCTCTTCGATGTACCTTTATGTTATGTCGGTATTATTTATTAACTATTTTGTTTCTTCGATTTTCTTCATAACAAAAACTATTTCATTTTCTTGTTTCTTTCCCGACCAAAGCTACTCAGCTCCGATAATCCGGCATTAGGTGATGAACCACAGTTGACATGGCACATCCGTGGAAGAAGATTCCAGCGGGTTCCACTTACTGGCGGCCATCGGCACTTTTTTTTTTTTTGTGATGAAGGTTTGGTTATCCATCACGATTGAGCAAACCGATTGTTTAGCATTTGATCATTTTTCATTTTATTTTTATTTTAGTTTTTAATCTTAATTTTCCGCAGTTACACAAAAAAAAATTAGAAACCAATACATGCAAGTGAATCTCTCAACATCTAGAACATTACAAATTGGAGAAAAAAATATTTTTACATTGAACTAAAAATGTTTTTATTTTGAAATAATACAAACAGAAAATCTTCAAAATAACATATTTTTGTAATGAAATTTCATATTTATTGAACTATAAAAAGAATAGTATTTACATAAGAGTAGAAACTAAAATAGTATCTCTATAACTATATTGTCCTTTTATCTTAGATTGTGAGTTGGTGCCATCACTGAAGTAATCCTACATGTTTTATGGTCTGGTATGAGGATACAGCCTATGTGGTTTTGCAAGGAGACATTACAGGATTGACCACAAGGATGAAAGAGATAGAGGCAGAATTAGCTAGTCTGAAAACACAGCGTGAGCAATCGATCGATGCCACTAAGGATGCATCGATCGACGCGAATGACGAATCAGCACATGATGAGCCGTCGATTGATCAAATAGCTACATAGGACAAGACATATCTGAATACCAGGATTGACGCAATACATCACCTCCTCACCAATATCGTCAACTGGTTAAGCATGAGGACTGAGTTGTTACAGCAAGATTCGGATAAAATCCTTGAGGAGAAGCATGAGAAAAGCCAATCGATCGATACAGATGTGATGAAATCGATCGATGTGAAAAAGTTACTAGAGCAGAAATTCTACACCATAGCAGAAGTTGACCATATCATTGATAGGATCTACAAAGCTCTGAACACAACCGAGTATAGGCTTGACAAGAGATGTGATGATATATTCTTCCCCTTCTACAACAGCATCAGTGGATTACATTCATGAACAAATTGGTTGCAGAAGGAAGTCATGACAATTCAGAAAAGACTCGCATGTCAACCTGAAGCTGCAGCATCGATTGAAAATGATGCAGTCCCATCAATCGATGATGTTCCACCTGAAGCGATTGACACTACAACTGTCACAGCGATCGATTCCGAGTCCGTACCAGAAGGAAATAAGCTGTTACAGGAAGATCAGGTCACATCAGATTTAACTAAGGAGACATTAGGACAACTTACTGAACGTGTTTATGATAGGGTTCAATGGAACAACATCAGCATTGAGAGTCTTCAGGAGAGACTTCAAAATATTGCAGACACAGTCATAAAAATGGATGCAAGATGGGCCAGAAGTGATGAAGCCACAAGAAGTTTCATGGCTACTTGGTTCAGCATCAACAAAGAAGTTGTGGATACTTGTTTTCCAACAAGTAGCTCATTTTCAACACAATAGCTCATCCAGCGCCAACAGTCAAGCTAAATGACTATAACAAAGCGCTGAGTGGGAGGCAACCCACTATTAGGTTATTTTTATTGTTGGTTTTCTTTACATTTATTGATTCTTATTCGTTTTTCATTTTTGCAGGTTTTCTATAAAAAAAAAATATCCAAGGAGAAACGAATGAGAACCTCATCGACCGACAGCAGACACTCGATATCGATCGACATACATTCACCTCCAACGATCGATGTACTTACATATACATCGATCAATTATTCAGTCCGGTCAGGTTCATCTTTCTTCCTTGTTACATTGAGTACTTATGATTTCTTTTCTTTCGCCATAACTCTGATTTTCTTTACACTAAGACAGTGTAATTTAAGTCTGGGGGGAGGCTTACTGATTTTTTATTTGCTTTGAGTCTTATAAAAATTTGTTTTCGAAACTATTTTTATTAAGCTCAAGAAAAGGGATAATGATCGTATTTGATTTATACTTGTCATCGAACCACTTTTTCGCACCATTCTAGATTTTATGATTACAGATAGTACTAACGATGCTAAAGTGGATCAACCAATCAGCGATTCACACTTGCTTAGATTGTTTGAAGGAACCAAAACTACCTCCAACATTAAACCTAACACAACTGCTTGTCTTGGGGCTTGGTATACATGAGATCGGATTCTTCAAACAAGTCTGGAAGGTAAAGCCTTGTGTAGATTTATCACCTTTTCTCTCTCTACTTTTGACCCTAGATAGTTAAGTAGATTTATATTATGCAAACAAAAAATCCGAAAATAGTACTAAGTTTATTAGAACAGAAATCAGGACAGGAATTGGTGGCTAAAACCACTAAGGCTTGCTTCATAATGATTCCAATAAAAGAATTCGAATTGGACTTGGTGGCTACAACCATTAAAGCTCAATTCAAATGAATTCTTGGATATAGGTCAAAAAGAAGTTATCAGGACTAGGTGGCAAAAACCATTTAGGCTTGTTGATAGACCATGATTTTGACCCGCTTTTGGTCATATTTTCTATATGTTTTTATTATAAATATCTATGTTTTGGAGTCTATTAGGTATGTTTTCAGGTTCATGAACATTTTGTGGTAAAGTGATGATTTATGTGCCTTTTGGTGCTTAAAGAAGAGTTTTCTAAGATGACTATGAAGATCCGATATAAGAGATACATATCGATCGATACACACCCTGTGTAATCGATCGATGACGCTTCCGTAGAAGTTGAAGTCGAGATCCTCCATCGATCGATGTACGCAATGTACCATCGATCGATACAGAGCGTGATGAGAAAGATGTATTTGGCCAACTTGAAGCCCAAGTTCTCACCAAATTACAAGACTGCCCCTGACGAGTTTTTTAACCTAATTGTACTCCCTATTTATATCTATGCCTATGATGCTTTAAGAACAAGAAGTTTTGAAAGAGTTTGGTATTCTATTCTATTTAGCAATAAAAGTATTTTCTTTTCTAATTCTTTTGCTATGAATCTCTTGGCTATGTCTGAGTAGATTCATATGTTAGATTTGGGGTTCAAATAGTTATGAGGGATTAGCCCCAACTATGGATTGTTGAGTTGTTATATTCATTATCCAAATGAACCCTAATGCTTACTCTAGACTTGCTACCTAGATTATTGATTATGGAGTGACTAATCTAATAGTCATCTTCCTGAAATCATTTGGCTAAACTCAGACTCTATTAAGGCACGATGCGATAGCCCGTCTTATAGAAATTCTCGAGTGAACAATAGTTCGATCCGATCTGATACTTAATATCGATCGACACTCTTCTAAGGTATCGATCGACGACATGCTTATATCGATCGAAACTGCGATAGCAACATCGATCGATGCAGTCGGCAATCAGATCAATGGACGAGTCTAACTAGCGATAGCTATAGATTTGTCTAAGGATTGAAGTTCTCATATATTTGCAAGCAATTCATTAAGACATCCATAGATCTATAATCCCAATTTTCTGAATAGTAACCTTGAATCTAACTATTTTCCTTCATTGTTTTCAAACCAAAACCTATTCTTTTTAGCAACTTACAATTGCTACTTATTTTATTTACTGTTTTAAACCTTTTTCCAACCTAGCTTAATCACTTAGGATTATATCTTTTGTGTCTCTAGTTCCTTGTGGATTCGATCCCTAAGTACTACGATTGAATCTCTTTTGATGAGAGTAATTCACTCCTTAGGGTAATTTGAGTGATATCAAATTTGGCACCGTAGCCGGGGAACTAAGATCACTATTAGATTTAATGTGATTCAGTCTAGGTTATTTGTTATTTTATTTTTCTATCTTTTGACACAAAATCTTTTTCTTTTTCTTTTTGTCTCTTTCAGGTACATGCCCAGTAGTACTAGAAGCAACAAGAACAAGCAGCTTTTGTACTCAGAAGATCCCAACAACCTAGAGCGTAGCATCCGCAAGGACATACGCTCCGAATCGATCGATACCAATACCATCGTATCGACTGATACGCCCTTTTCACCGACGATCACCAACCGTTCGTCAACCGACACCTTCACCACCTCATCGATCGACATCAACAACCGTTCGTAGACCGATACCCCTCACTTGACATCGATCGATACACCACACCTGACATCGATCGATACTAACCGGCAAGACATGGTAGCGCCTATGATTCTCATACCCGATGAGAATGGAGACCTGCGTGATCAAGATGGTCACCTGTGGAATGCATCAGGTCAGAAGCTTAATGATCAGAAGAAGATCATTATTGAAGAAGAGACTGCGCCTACAGGCATCATTCAACTTGTAGAGGAGACCCGAACTTTGGCTGA